TGGTATTTATCATGCAGTGTATTGATCTCCCATGAAGGAGTGAGTCGTATTTCACACTGTGTACATTAGTGCAAAAAAGTAGCAGGGATTCTGCAGAAGAATTGCCAAACTGGAGAGAGTGAGCTTCTTGATCCAATACTGCCTATGAGCATGAGCACGTGAAGTGACAAAGTCATTTTGCTGAGCATAGGTGTTAGGAGGGGGTCAGTGGACCACTGCACAGCAAGCTCAACTTGGTGGCTAGAAGGTTGCTGGGGACGGGGCGAGGAGGACTTGCAACCCTTGGCTATTTCTGCTCCCTTCCCCTTGAAGGTGCTCCCCCACTTGTGAGGGGATTTACTAAACATAAGTCCATTGCTCTTGATTGTATGGCAGATATTAAAGCACACATTTCCCAAAGATACTTCTTATGTTTGGGGCAAGGTTGTGCCTGGTGCTGCACAAGTATGTATAGCTTGGGACAAGATATCTGGAGTCCTTCCTGGATCCTACGTTTAAGGGCCTGGGGACAATCGAGAACAGTACCAGCCTGGCACCCTTAGTCTTCCCTGAGGGGGCAGGGTAGTGCAGAGTTGTGAGCACATGTTACCTACAATCAAAAGACGTAGCAGCTTGGAGTTTTATTCCTACCTAGACCTCCCACGGGAGTGAAGAACCCAGTCCTCCCCATTAAGGTACCTGGGTCACCTCATTTCTTACTGAAATGCGGTCTGGAATGAGAAAGCAGCAGCTAATCTGTGCCACCAACATTAGGCACTTGTGTAGGGGTTGTATTTGGGGGAGGAAATGAAAAATAGCTTATTAAATTAAACCTGTAGAGTAATTTTATTGGGTCAGTTAGTAAATACCAGATTGCAAGGGTACTGGTCAGGGTCTTGAGATGAATGACTTTTCTTAAATAAATTAAATACCTCTTTAATAGCCAAGAGTAGGCAAGGACTCAGTTTTATGTCTGCTGTGGAAGATTGCTCCTAACCACTAAAGCACATGTAGCTTCCTCCTGGAACAAAAGGGAACCTGTCAGCAGCCAGCTGCACCCCCAGCAGCACTTTGCTTTTCCTTGAAGGTCTTCCATTTAGCTACAGACTGAACCTGACCCACTTGCAACTTTGAGAGCTCAGATTTAAATACCTGGAAGTCTTAACTTTGACAACAGAAATGCTGTTCCGTTAAAGACTAGTACTGGTTTTTGTTTCAAGAGATTGGGGGAAAAAAAAAAAAAAGGCTTAGAGTGCCTCAGCTCTTATCCCTATGTGCAATTCTGGCAGTCCAAACAGTCTCGGAAGAGCTGCAGTCGACTGAGGAAGAATTTCTCGGGAACACTGAAGGGCCGAGAAAAGTGTCTCCGTGGAAGCCTGGTTTGTGTAGGGTGCTTGCAAGAAGCAGAGTATGTTTGTGACCAGAATTCAGAGCCAGCCGCCCCGGGGGCTGCTATGAGTTGGAGTAACCCCTGATGCTGCTCCAGCTTTCCCCAAGATGATACTATCTGCATCTTCCATGTTGTATCTCTTGTGAGATGAAGCTTAGATTCACTTCCCTCCAACCCAGATTGTTGGAGGGAAAGCTAGTCAGTCACCATGTGCAATAGCAATAAAAACTTATGTGGTTTTAATTCAGGGTGAAGGACTGAGATGCAGCTGGTGACGGTTCTCATCTGCTCTTTAAATTACATTATCAGTCCATGTTCTCATGGGCTAAAACTGGGTAGATCCATGAGGCCTTTTCCACCGTATTTCATGTGGAAAGACTATTCCGATTGATCCAAAACCCTGTTAGTCAGTGGGATTCATAGTATGGAGGTAGCTGTGACATTTTTCCCTTTTGTTCTGCATATCCTACTTTTTTGGTGTGGTGTTGGAGCACTTTCCAGTGCTCTTGGGTGTAAAAAGAAAAAATAACAGGCTGTGAGTGGTTTGGGATTTATGTACGTGGATGAATGAGCAGGTGAGGATTCTGTTCAGCTCACAGAGTTATACAATGGAGAAAGTTGGGAGGCCACAGGGGGTCAGACTGCTGGATTCGCAACAGGACCCACGAGACCAGCAAGGACTACAGCACAACTAGAGAGAGGAAGAAAATGTCAGCAAGTCAACCTCTTAACTCCATTCAGTGCTAAATGATGTTTGCCCCAGCAAAGATATACTATAGAGGGGGGAGAAGGGGCAGCTGATTTGCTCCTGTCTGTGCAAGAGAGGGCACTAGTATTGCCCCCCACACTGAAAACACAAAAGAGGGTTGTCTGAATGATCTGGGGCATGACTGGTGGCTCTTGGCTTCCCCACCTTCAGTAGCATGTTTTTATTGAGAGGCCAAAGCCTTAGTACATCCACGTGGGATGGAGAGATGTTTTTGTGTCCATTTTGCCAAGAAGAAACTGAAAGATGCTAAATGACTTGACCAGCTTCAGCCAGGCCCTGCCTACCTTGGGGAACGTTTAGAAAATGTCCCTACAGTTATGAATACAGCTTCAGCAGTATTGACAGCCCTATTACAGAGAGGCCACTCGTCAACACTGGTACGGCTAACACCATGTCACGTAGATCTCAGAGCACATCAAATCAGTGGCAGGTGAAGAGTAGCATCTATCCTATTGTTGTTGGTGTCATGGAAGCCAAAATGGTATTGGTGACAGAAGGAAATCTTTAGAAAATGTTCGTAGTGTAGAGCAAGAAAAGCAGTAAGCCAGGAATTAGAACCAAGTGGCAGTTATAAAGTATCTGTGTCTCTGATGAAACAGGGGTATAGGTTGTAGCCTTGTTGGTCTAAGGACAAAGGCAGACAGTGTTCTTTGGAAAATGTGATATCTTTTATTAGACCAACTCAAATAGTTGGAAGAATTCTTCTTTGCAAGCTTTCAGGTACAAATAACCTTTGTCAGGCTGAAGGTATCTGTACCCGAAAGCTTGCAAAGAAGAATTTTTTCCAACTTTTTGAGTTGGTCTAATAAAAGATATCAGATTTACCCAAGCAACCTTGTCTGACGAAACAGACCCTTCTTTAGTTCACAGACATATACATGTGCCTAAGGCAGTGGTTCCCAACCTTTTTTATACTGCGGACTGGGACAGGAGCAGGACGGGGCACATGGAGCCGGCTGCCTGCCTCCCAGGGCTGCCCCTCCATCCAGCTTTAACCCCGCACGTGACTGCCAGTGGCAGAAGCCACTTGCCCAGGGTGACAGATGGGGGTCTGAGTGGGGGACTCGTGCCATGACCTGGCAGCCAACCCTTCCAGGCCGTGGCCCATTGCTTGGGAACCTCTGACCTAAGGTATAAATGTACCTTACACAGTTAGAGCACTATTTCCTGTGCTCTTGTATGAGTGCCTCTAATCCCACACGATTCTGTACTAGAGGTGCACTGATGCATCGGATCAGCACCGGCATAAAGAAAATGGCCTATATTGGAAATTGGTCTGAAGTGGCTGATAATTTGGCCAGTAAATGCCCATGTGTGTGTGCAGCTGCAGTGCAGCACACAGGCGGTGAGGAGCAGAGCCTGGCAGCATGGAGAGCTGTGTGCAGCTGGTAAGTCTGTTGTGGTGAAAGGGGAAGGGGGGGACTGGGTGTGGGATCAACGCCCTCCACGATGAGGGAAGGAGGGGGGTTCAGGTAGGCACTGTGCAGCTGGGTGGGGCGGGTGCTGGATGAAGCCATGGCTTGTCCAGGGGACGTAGGTTATGGGGGCGGCTCCTGCCACTGCTCCCACTGCTTGTCCATATGCCCTGGATCTGCGTGGGGTGGGCTGGGCAGACTGTAGCTGCGAGCTGGGCCCAGGGGCTGTGCTGTGCTGTACTGTGCTTGGGGTGGGTGGCAGCAGCACTGGGAGGGGGCTATGGAGGGGCTATGGCCAAATTTTGGGGTGGCTGCAGCCCCCGCTGTAGCCCCACTCTTATCGCCACTGCTGCCTGCCCTGAGCACAGTGCTGTAGCCTTCTTGGCCCACCCAGTGCAGGCCAGGAGCGCACACACCCTCCCCCACCCCATGCCCTTCCGGACAAGTTGTGGGAATTGCCTGCGCCCCCCGGATAAGCCACAGCTCTGTCCCACACCCAGCCCACCCCATCTGGGTAGCGCCTACCCTAGCCCCAAATGCACTCCTTCCCTAACCACAGGGGATGTTGATCTGTCTCCCCACGCCCCTTCCCTCCCCTTCCTCTTTCACCACAACAGACTTACCAGCTGCATGCAGCTGTATTGGAAATCGGGTTAATATCGGTCCACATGCCTCCCTAAAAATTGGCTATTGGTATCAGCCCCCAAAATCTCTAGTGGTGCACCCCTATTCTGTACTGATTGTGCCAGAGGGGAGCACCCAGGACCAAGTTGGAGAACACAGCCGGGGAGTCTCTAAATCAGTGAAATCATGGACACTCTTCCTATAGTGCTGTGGAAACTGATGTGAAGGAGTTGCATTCAGATGACTAGTTGAGAGCAGTGTGGTTGAATTTTGGGTGTCTTTCAACAGGACAGGTATTGATAACTGCTGATGAAAACAGGCTTCAAATCCCACCAAAAATTGGGATGTGGGATGGGATGCTACCCTTAGCCAAGTTTTTGTACCCTCACTATTGTGACAGCATGCTCATGCTACATGTTGTTTTACAGCATGCATATGGAGTGCTCTGTCACTTGCAGGTGACCAGGCTCAAAAGGGAAAGGAAAGGGAACAGAGTCAACTGAAGTCAGGGTCTCCATGTTCCTAGGGGTTAAGTAAGACTTGAAGTGCAATAATAATGTTCTTTTTATTGATGGCAGAAGACATCAGAAAGCATCTGGTTCATTAGCTTAAACTTTTGGTCCTTTTAGTTTTGGCCAATAGAGTAGCAAGATAATTTGTTTATATGAATGTATCCGAGCAAGTGCAGTCTCCCTTCAGTTTGCACCTTTTCCTATTTATCACCCCCTGTCAAGGCAGCGGAAGGCAAAACAGCTTACTGAGAGGTAACATTCTTTATAGAGCCTCCTGTTTCATAACTGGTGGGGTTTTTCTTTCTTTTCAGAGGGACGGATGCTTATTCAGGACATTCCTTCCATCACCAGCAGAGGGCATCTGGAGAGCACGTCTGACTTGGTCGTGGACTCCACCTACTACAGCAGTTTCTATCAGCCATCCCTGTATCCTTACTACAACAACCTGTACAACTACTCCCAATACCAGATGGCTGTGGCCAGTGAATCTTCCTCAAGTGAGATGGGGGGTTCATTAGTAGGCTCACCTGTGAAAAATAGCCTTCGAAGCCTACCCGCCACATATATGTCAAGCCAGTCAGGAAACCAGTGGCAGGTATGGTATAACAAGTGATGTTGGGGTGTGGGATACAGTGTGCTGGGGTCCATGGGCCTGGCTGTGGCCTCTTGCACTGTAATGAAGCTCCATGGGTGTTCATGGATTTACTCCCACTTCACAGCAGCGTGAGATCAGAACCAAACTCTAGATGTGATATAAGGTTATACGCAAAACATTGGAAGGTTTGTCGGAAGCTAAAACAGCCTGAAACCCATGTGACAAGCTGTGGAAAATGTAATGGAAAGAATGTCTTCTGTTTCTGAGGTTTTTTTAATAATAAAATATAATTTCAATGGGATATTTTCCAAGTGTAACACCACTGTCATTGCCAGCAGGTGAGCTGAGGATGATATTTCTGAAAGGCTGTGTTCTCTGGGATCCCTTTTCATTTCCCCTTCCAAGGAAATGAATAATAATCACTTAGAATTCCTGTTAAGACCCAAGATGGAAACAATTTGCCTGTCTAATAGCTTGTGCCAGTGCCTCTCCGCAGTTACCTGGGAAGGGTTCCTTGAGCACATCCCTCTGTGTGAATGCTGCCTATGCGTAGGACTTGAACTTGAGTCCTCCAAGTGAGACTATGAGGTTGCAAAGCCAACACAGAAACCTTTTTAAAGCTCTGCATATGTCTTTTATGTGTAACATGAAGCTCTTTATTATCATCCTTTATCCACAAATATTATACCCTTTAAATGTGCAGGGATGTAAAACTGGGGAGGTCCCTGGCAAAACGTGTTTACTGTTGTAAAGTTTCAAAGGTCACTTATCTTGTCATGTCCAAGTGACAGAGCAGCAGACAAGGATGCTTAGATGTTAGTCACAAAGAGCAGAGTTGGGTGATTTTTTTTTTAGCTTCTATACTGAAATGCCTCACCGGTGAGCCCATATCAACCCGTTTGTAGTGATGTTCTGTTTGCAGCTGAACTTATTGATGCTGCCTTGTGTGATGTTTTAGGATTGTTCTTTTGGAGCTAGCATTGCAAGAGTGATAGCAAAGTGACCAGTCAAAAGAGAGGCTGGACTCTATAGTAGCTTTTCTTAGAGGAGGGCGCTGAGATGTTCCAGTGTGGCTAGGCAGAGCTTAGTTCTTGTAGTTCCTTCTTGCCTAGCTGTAGTGAAATTGATTTTTACTCCTGGATATCATTTGACCACTCCTCTTTCCTCTTCTGAGAGATTCCTTCAGCCATACGCAAAAGCACCATAAATTTACCTGCAGATTGGATGGTTATATGCACTCTGGTTAACTCGGTGCCTAACTAACCATTTGTATGTGATTAGCATGTATACTGTTGCAGCAGCCACAAAGCATGAAATTGGGCGTCAACCGCTATCAGCCACTTAAAAAAAAAAAAAAAAAGACATTTTTTTGCATTTCTGAGCTAGATGAGCTCTAATTGCAGCAGACGTTTCCCTTTCCTTCCCAGAATCCCCTGGTTTGGAGAAGGAGTAAGCATTAGTTTAGCTGAGACAGGTTGCTGGCAAACAAGAAAATCTACAAGAGTAAGAGGCTTCTCTGGTCATGGGAACAGAAACCAAGGCTAGGGAGTCCATTACTTACCTAGCCAGAATGCTTCCCCCCCTTAGGCTGTATATTTGCCAGCCCTTTAGGAAGTGATCTCCATACAACTGATTGTTGGCAGCTGCATTCCTTGATTCAAGGATAACAGTTTTTCAGTAATTAGGGAAGTCATTAATGAGTCCTTGGATGAGTGAGGCAGCTGGTCTGAGACCTGCATGTTTGACTGCAGACATGGCAAATAGCTCTATAGTTTCGTAGTTGGTAGGGTTGGAAGGGACCTAAGCAGGTTATCAAGTCCGACCCCCTGCCATGGGCAGGAAAGGATACTGGGGTCAAACAACCCCGGCTAGGTGATTGTCCAGCCTCCTTTTGAAGATCCCCAGAGTAGGGGCGGGTACCACTTCCCTAGGAAGTTGGTTCCAGGTCTTAGCCGCCCCGACTGTGAAGTAGCGCCTCCTGATGTCTAGCCTAAACCTACTCTCAGTCAGCTTGTGGCCATTATTCCTTGTAACTCCTGGTAGTGCTTGGGGGCAACAGGAACTCTCCCATTGCCTGCTGGTCCCCCTTGGCAAGTTTGTAGGTGGCCAGCAGATCCCCCCTCAGCCTTCTCTTGTGGAGGCTGAACAGGTTCAGGTCCCATAGCCTCTCCTCACAGGGCTTCCCCTGCAGCCCCTTGATCATGTGAGTGGCCCTCTTCTGGACCCTCTCAGTGCTATCCACATCCCTCTTGAAGTGCAGCGCCCAGAACTGGATGCAGTACTTCAAATGCGGCCTGACCAGTGTTGCATAGTGGGGGAGGATCACCTCCTTGGACCTGCTTATGATGCATCTACGGATGCATGACAAGGTACAGTTGGCCTTCCTGACTGCGTCCCCACATTGGCAGCCCACGTTCATCTTGGAATCAATAATGACTCCAAGATCCTTTTCTGCCTCTGCTGATGAGAAGGGAGTTCCCCAGCTTGTAGGTATGCTGCTGGTTCTTCCTCCACAGGTACAATATCTTGCAATGTCCGTATTGAAACCTATCCTATTCTCATCCGCCCACCTCTGTAACCTGTCCAGATATAGTTGTATCCTGTCCCTCTCTTCTAGTGTGCTTACTTCTCCCCACATCTTAGTGTCATCTGCAAACTTGAACAAGGTGTTTTTCACCCCCTTGTCCAAGTCGCCGATGAGGATATTAAACAGTGCGGGCCCAAGGACCGAGCCTTGGGGAACCCCACTGCCCACGTTCCTCCAGGTTGAAAATGACCCATCCACCACTCTGGGTGCAGCCCTCCAGCCAATTCGCGACCCATCTGACTGCGACACTACAGTTGCCTAATTTTATAATGAGGATGGGGTGAGAGACAGCTCTAGACAGAAGGAGTAGATCCTGATTGATGTCAGGTCACAGCTCTTTCCTTTTGGCTCTCTTACCTATCCACCTCCCTAGTGAGGAGAGTTTGAAGTGATCAATGCCTTGTAAATCTTGGTGCCATTGGGGACAATTCAGTACTTGAGTCTCCTGGGTATTGATGTTAATATCACGTTTCTTCAGATTTGCCTTTAGGGTGCCCTTAAATCTCTTTATTTTGCTCACAGTGGTAACCATTGGTGAGTTGAAAGTACAGGACCTATTTTGGGAGCTGGTTGTTAGATACCCTTTTTTCATAACCCGCCCAATGGAGCTGGTGCTGTATAAACAAGGCGTCAGTGCTGGCGATGCTTGCTTGAGTCAGAAAAGACGTTCATTCTTCTGTCCTTCCAGTTGGTATGGAGGATTTTTCAAAGACATTGCTAATGGCAACATCCCAAAGCTTTCAGTTGTTTCCAACATGTCCAGGTTTCACACCCCTACACTAGTGTAGGGATGACGATAGCCTGGTAGACAAGACATTTGGTTTGGGTCCTGATGTCATGACCCAATGCCAGGATTTGCGAGATTTCCAAAATGGCCCTGGGAGACTTTATCTGGTGTTGACTATTGTTGTCTATATTTAGTTTATGGGAAAGGTGGCTACTCAAACAGGGAAAATGTTCAACATTTTCCTAGGATTGCCCTCTCCTAATATGTGGAAGAGCAGCTAGTTGGTTTGGGGTGGGTTGGTAAAGGATCTTGGTTTTCGTGAACTTGGCAATGAGTCCAAGCATTTCATAGGCTTCACAGAAGCAATCCAAAATGACCTGTTATTCTTCTAATGAGTGGGCACACGTGACACGAGGGCATTGAAGGTCAGTAATGGAGATACTGGTTATCTTGGATTTGGAACATAACTGGTTGATGTTAGAGATTCCTGTCCATATGATAATGGATGCTGATTCCAGATGGAAGTCTGTCAGCAACGAGATGTAAAATAACTAATATAGATGGAAAAGAGTGTTGATGCAGCCACACCCATTATGGCTACTTATGCCTTCAGTTATGTATCTCCTTCTAGCTAAACTTAGTGGCATAAAATACTTCAGTGAACTGAGGAACGGAGGTCTCCTTTTGAAACCCTCTAAAAGAGGTAAGTAAAATTCCATCAAAGATTCTTTCCTTAAGGGGAAAGACAGCTGGTGGAGGCAAACCCTGTTTTCACCTGTGGTA